GTGTTCTACTGCTGTTGTTTTGGAACAAGTATATTTTGTGTATTCTACTGCTATCATGAACAAGTTTATTTATTCTACTGCTGTTGTTTTGGAACAAGTATATTTTGTGTATTCTGCTGTTGTTTTGGAACAAGTATATTTTGTGGAAAGTATTACAGGTTTATGTATCCTGCTGCTGTTGTTGTTTATTGGTACTATGAAATGAACCTAAAAGCAGAACCAACTTATATGTATCATACTACTGTTGTTGTAAACATAAAAAACATAACATACCAAATATATCATTAACAAGCCAAATTAACATAATATTTAACTGTTGGTTATGCTTTGACAGACCAAATTAAAACACTTTAACTGTTGCATATCAAGTTAACATTATCTTTAACTGTTATATTCATGTGGAACTAATACAATGCAAAACTAAAACTGATTCATTCATGTTGAACTGCAAAAACTGAAATTAACTAAACTGATAGAATCCATATATTAAAATCCAACTATTACATTCATGTTGAAGTGATACAATCCAAAACTGATACAAACTTTAACTAAACATAAAAACATAATTCTTACAACAAAAACTTAACTTAATTCTTACAAACAAACCATAACATAATACTTCCAAATAAATCTTGATACCCTAACTACGCCTAACAACTAATACAATGACAATCATCACAAACATCAAATTCAAAATCTTTTTCCACTTCATGATATTCTTCATTTCACTTTCAAGTTTCATCAGCTTTTTCCCTAATTCTTCATTCTCCATTGTCGCTTTTTCAATGTCCTTTTTTGCTTCAGGAAGTCCCTTAGTTACCACACTCAGCCTATGCATCCAAAATTGCTCCTTCTCATCACTCATCTCCTCATAAAATCAATCAAAGAAGTCACAACTAGCTTGCATACCTCCCTGTAAGTTTCATTGTTTATAGGATGATACATAATGAATTTAAAATTAAACAAAAATATAACTTATAATTTGGACAGAAACAGAAACATAAGTTAATCAAAAACAGAACTTCAACCACTACAAGAAAAACTTCATTTTCCCTAGTGATTTAGTGACGTGGTAATCACATGGGAAAAAAACATGTTGCCAAGTGATTCCCACGTCACTAACTTATTTAAATATTAAATTATTCAGACCTAAAATCTGCCATCAAAAATTGGAATTTTAAGAGAGAGGGAAGTTTGAATTTTTAAAAAATTCATTTGTGGCGTGTATAACACATGGGAACTGAAAATTCAAAAATATCATTTTATTCCCACGTGAATAACAGGTCACAAGTTACCCACATACAATTCACTTCACAAAACTTCAAATATTAAATATTTTGCTTTTCCATTTACTTTTCAGACGCATTGGTAGAAGGAATTAAATGTGACAACTTTCCCACATGGGGATCACGTCGCAACCCACAGCCATAAATAACTTTCCCACATGGGAATCACGTCGCAACTTTCACACATTATTATCACGTCGCAAATGGGAGTCAGCATGTTTGTTCCGACGTGGGAACCACGTGGGTACCTTCTCACGTGTTGAACATGTCGCAAATCTCCCTATATATTAATTAGCTAAATTTTCCTTCAGCATCCCTTTTCATCTTCATTTGTTTCTTCGTTTCTTCTTCACAACTCCATTTCTCTCTTCTTCACCATTGCTGCCTCCCTCACAACTCCATTTCTAACTAAAATTTCTCAAAAAATTTAAGTTGACTGGTATGTATCTTGTTTTTGTGAATGTTTTACCGTTTATTTTATGTTTATGTTATTACTAATTGTTGATTTTTTTTTCCAGATCTAAAATTTAAGAAGTTCAAAGAAGCTTTGATAGAGCTAGCTAGTTAGCACATTAAGGTATTTATGCATTTTCAATTTGTTTATTTTTGAGATTTTGGTGATATATTATTTTGTTGTGTTGTTGTTGATATATTATTTTGTTAAATATGTATTTTGTAGTAGAATATATATTTTTAGTAGAATATATATTTTTAGATAGAGTTAATAAAAATATGTATTTTGATAGAGTTAATAAAAATAATTTTGTAGAGTTAATAAAAATAGTTTTGATAGAGTTAAATATGTATTTTTAATTTTGTAGAGTTAATAAAAATAAATTTGTTAGAGAATATGTATTTTGATAGAGTTAATAAAAATAATTTTGTTAGACAATATGTATTTTTAATTTTAGTTAGCAGATTAAATATATATTTTGATAGAGTTAATAAAAATATTTTTGTAGTAGAATATATATTTTTAGAATATATATATTTCGAATTAAAAACATAATATATATAAACAGAATATTTATTAGAAACAAATTAAATATGTAATATATTTTTAATTTTTAAAAATAGAATATTTATTATATTAGAAAAAGTAGTAGATATTTTAAAAATAGTTTTAGTAAACAATATTGTAAATAAAAAAAAATTAAAAGATATTTTTTACAAAATATAAAGAATATGCATTATATTTAAAATGTGCTATTTTTAAATGTATTATTTTTTGAAAAAGTATTTTTATTAAAAAATAATGAATATATATGTATTATATATATTTTAAATGTGTTATTTTTAGTAAACCAATTATATTATTATGTTATTGAATAGTTATTATATTTTAGTAAACATAATATATATTATTTTAAAAAAACATATTTTTAAAAATAATGAATATATATTATATATTTTAGTTTTATAGCTGTTTTCAGTTAATAATATTTATTTTTTATTATTATTAAATTTTATAGTGAAGTGCATCCCATGTCACTAATTAGTGACGTGAAAATCACATGGGAAAAAATATTTATTCAGGGTGGGTTCCCACGTGAAAACAAGGCCACAAATTAGTGATGTGGGAATCACATGAGAAAATAATTAAATGGTGTCAGAAAAGCGTGCAGACAAAATAGGTAAAAGTAGGTTCCCATGTGATTTTCACGTCACTAATTAGTGACTTGGTTTTCACGTGGGAACTTTTTCTCTTTTTTTTCTCATTTGCGACGTGGTTTGTATGTCACAACTTTGTGACGTGTTTTCCACTTGGGAAAAAGTTCCCACCATTATATTTCCGACGTGTTTCTCCCACGTCGCAAATTGTGACCAGTGATGTGATTTTTAGCTTAGTGACGTGGGAATCACTTGGGAAAATGCAATGTTTCTTGTAGTGAACAGAGAACAAAATCAGCTTTCATACCTTATAATTTGGACAACCCCAAAAAAGTTTTCCTATATTCTTAACAGTAGTTGCCCTTTGAAGAACAGCCATGTCTCCACAATGGCACATGGGCTTCCATCGTGACCGACTACAAACATCCGAATCCCGACTTTTCGATTTCGAAATGGAGGAGGAACATCCGGATTTCATGCTTGCCAAATAAAAAAACCCTAGATTAAGTTTGGGATTTGGGGTTTGGGATTTGGGATTCAGATTATTTTTTAGGGATTTGAACGGAAGAAGGAAGGAGAAGGAGGCAACATCATGAACAAAATTAGGGATTTCATGCTTGTCAGGTCATCTGTCAGATATGCAAAATAAATGGACATTTAGGGGCACCTGACGGTGCGGACTAAAATGACACCATTTTAAAAGTTAAAGGACCAACTTGCCACTTTTTAAAGATAAAGGACCAACATAGGCCCCGAGTTAAATTTAAGAGACGAAAAAGGGTATTTTGCCTTAAAAAAAAATTAATGTTTGAAAAATTCCTTCTCATAACAATTTTACGTTGGAAGAAAAACACATCCAGTATTTTAGAGGAGTCTTGTAGCTAAAAATTTATAACCTTACTAATTTGAAAATACTACATTTGTTTTTAAATATATAATTCTCTTTAGTATTCTTTTTCCTTTTTTATAGATTAATGATTTCTTTACTTATATATTTTTAATTATGTTGTATTTTTAAAGCAATTTAAACTAAATATTCTTACATAAATATTAAATAATTCTCGCTTCTAAAATTAAATTTATAAAACTATATAAATAATGAACATACTTAATATTTTAAACAATTTTTTTTTAATATTATCAGTTTGTTCAACCATAATTAACTTAGTTTCTTCAAATACTTAACCACTAATTAGTTTTTTTTTCCTATTTTTAACACCAATTTCACATATGAAAATATTTTTTTTTATAGTTTATATATAAATATAAAAATATTTATAAATAAGAAAAAAAAAAAAACAATAGATTAAACAAAACAAGTATAAGTGATACTCAAATCCTTATAAGACAAAGTTAACCATTTTTCAAACACAACAATAAATTAATAAGCCAGTCAGAAAAAATAAAATCAGGATGAGTCATGTACGCCGTCTTTATTTGATGGTCAACATAGGTTAATCGTATTTAAATGAACTTGAGGTTTCAATATATTTTAGATAATAATAGATTAATTCTGTTTTTCAAAAATTAAATTTGTTATAATAAATGTAGTTTATCATCTCACTCCATTTAATTCAACTTTCAAACTTATCATTGATGGATTTAAATCTCTCTTTTAATAAAAAAAAGTTAAGTATAATATTACGTTCGTTGAAAAAATATATAATTGTGTAAATTTATTTTTAATATTTGTACTATTTATTATTACAAATTACATAAAATGATATAAAAAATATTAATAAGAATATGTTAGTAAACAAATAATTATTTTTTAAAATTAATTACAAATCTTATAAAAATTAATAAAACAAAATCATGATGAGAGTCTTATATTTAAATTCATAAATGATTTTTTTATGAAACAAAGAATAGAAAGCTTAGAGAAATTTTGTCAATAAAAAGAAAAGTCATAGATCAGTCAACATCATATACACATTATTAAAAGCATAGTCATAAAAACTAAACTTCAACAAAGGTCTATATGAAAGAATACCAAACTATAGCCATATTCAAGAGTCTATAAATAACAACCTCATAGCATCTCACAAAACCACACAAAAACTTTAGAGTTAAGTAATCAACCTCTCCTAAAATATCAACACCATGGAACTTCAACTTTTCTTCTTTGTTATTCCCTTTTTTCTATTGTTCCTATTTCACTTCCTATCAAAATATTTCAACCCAAAAACAAATAAATTGCCCCCTGGCCCAAAGAAATTTCCTCTCATTGGTAACCTTCATCAACTAGCCATGTCAAAGAAACTCCCACATCATGCTCTACAAGAGCTTTCTCAAAAATATGGTCCTTTAATGCATCTTCAACTAGGTGAAATTTCTACCGTTATTGTATCATCTCCGAAATTGGCCAAAGAAGTCATGAAAACACATGATGTTGTTTTTGCTAATAGGCCAAAACTTCTTGCTCCTGAAATTATGGTTTATGGTTCAAAAGATATTGTGTTTTCTCCATATGGAGATTTTTGGAGACAAATGAGAAAAATATGTGTGTTAGAGCTTCTAAGTGCTAAAAGGGTTCAATCTTTCTCTTATATCAGAGAAGACGAGTCTACAAAATTGATACAATCGATTCAATCAACAGCAAACTCGACAATCAATCTCACTAGTAGAATTTTCGCGATGGTGAGTAACGCTATTTCAAGGGCAGCGTTTGGTGAAAAATCAAAAGATCAACAAGAATTTGTTGAATTGGTTAAAAAGGTTGTGGAAATTTCAAGTGGACTTGATGTCGATGACATGTTTCCTTCGATTAAACCATTACATATACTAACCGGGATGAGATCAAAGTTAGATAAATTTCACAAGCGCGTAGACACAATCATAGGAAACATTGTTAGACAACATCAAGAAAAACGATCAAAAGGAAAAGAAGACAACAACAACGTTGAAGTCGACAAAGAAGATCTAGTAGATGTTCTTTTGAGAGTCCAAGAAAGTGGTGACCTTGATGTTGAAATAACAACCAACAACATCAAAGCTGTGATTTGGGTTAGTAACTTTAAACTAATATAATTCTTTCTAAAAAAATATATAAAAAATTTTCTTCTCTTTTATTTTCAAAAAAATATATAAAATATTTATATATATTGATGATATTTCAGGATGTATTTGTTGCTGGAACTGATACAACAGCAACAACAATAGAGTGGACTATGTCAGAACTCATGAAAAACCCTAGCGCAAGAAAAAAAGTTCAAGCTGAACTAAGAGCAGCACTCAAAGGAAAAGAAACAATACAAGAATCTGATCTACAAGAACTCTCATATTTAAAATTAATAATCAAAGAAACATTGAGGTTACATCCACCTTCTCCATTACTAGTCCCTAGAGAAAGCTCTGAGTTAACCATCATCGACGGATACGAAATACCGAAAAACACGAAAGTTATTATAAATGCATGGGCTCTGGCAAGGCATCCGGATTACTGGACCGACGCGGAGATGTTTATTCCGGAGAGATTCGAGGATAGTTCGGTTGATTTTAAAGGGAATAATTTTGAGTTTATTCCTTTTGGAGCTGGGAGAAGAATGTGTCCTGGTATGTCATTTGGTTTGGCTAGTGTTACACTTCCTTTGGCTAAGTTACTTTATCATTTTGATTGGGAGCTTCCAGATGCGATGAAACATGAAGATTTGGATATGAATGAACATTTTGGAATGGCGGTTGGAAGGGAAAGTGAGTTGTGTTTGATTCCTAGTGTTTGTGTTATGTGATTTCAACTAGGTTTACTCAAAAATATCTATTCTTGTGATGTGTAAAATTTCAGAAAAAAAAGTTGAATCTTTGTTATGTTATAGGACAAAATGGGACTGTAAATGTGTCTTAAATTGAGGATAACGTGGTCCCTATATTTCTGCTGCAACGGTGCCTACAATCATATACTATCTTTCTTTGTATTATATATTTAGAGACTATTCCAAATTTTTTTTAGATATTTTGACTTTGACAATGTTCTATACTTTTTTTTTTAATATATAATATAAACTCAATGCGATTTATAGTTTGAATTCTGGTATTAATGTCTAACATAACATTATGATTTTCTTCAATTGAGTTAAGATTTGTAACCTTTAATAATTTTTTTTATTAATTTTAAAAAAAAAAGTGCTATTGAAAAACATCGACAATAATTAACACCATTTTTTAAATATTTTAAAGTAGTGGTGCAATCATCAGTATCACTGCCCAACCAACATCGGAATAGGCAATGAGATTGTGTGTGATTGTGGGCTCTAGAGAATAACATGGTTGATTGTGGTTTTGAGATGTTGGAGACGAAGAGTGGTGGGTTAGTGCATGAATTGTGCAAGTTTATTTATGAAAAAGGATATGTTTGGCTTTGTGAGTTTGAGATATTGAAGAGTTCCAACAATACTTCTATATTATATAGCATTAGTAGATATAGTTTCATCATGGAGTTGAAGTGTTATTGTAGCGGTAAGTGGCTTGGCGCCCTCCATATAAAATCGTTGGAGGATATCTATGATATGCTTGTGTTGAGATGGGAGTATGCCCGAGTTGGTGGAAATGATTTATATGCCCAAAAAAATACCGTGGAGTTCCCATGTTCTTCAAGAAAAACTTTTAGATAGATTTGAGAAGAATTCATGTAGGAAATGGTTGTTGTTACCAGTGAGGAGTAAGTTATCAACATAAACAAGGAAGTAAGCAAGAATACATGTGTCTTCATAAATAGAGAAAAATGGATCACTTTTGCAACATGAGAAGTTGTAGGACACTGTGAAACTTTTTAGTGCATTATGTGATGCTCGAGGAGCTTGGCAAAGGCCATAAATGGCTTTGTGTAGTTTGCATACATAGTGTCTTTGAGTTTGATGAATTTTCCCTCATTGTATTAGTATAACCTTACAATTGGTAGATTAAAATGTTTTTCAACAAGAATTTTGAAGGCTGAAAAAATAATAGACACATCATATAAAAGTAACCACACGCGCGCACACGCACATGCGCGCACACATACGTACACACACTTGAAACCTCTGTTTTATCGATCAAATATCTTAAAACGCTTTCAAACCTGAGCCAAGTGATTAAGACATGTTCAGCTTTTTTTTAAAGCATTTTTAACTAACCAAACGATTGGGACCTTAAAACAATCAATCGGGAGATATTTTTGAACAATCCAATCGATTAGAACCATAAGACAATTAATCGGAAGATATTTTGAATAACTAATCAATTAGGGGCTTGAGATAATTGATTGGAAGAAGCCTAAACGAGTGTATAATCGATTATGACAATTTCTTAATGACTGGTTACGACTCCTTATCAAATATTTCCATTATGGGCCATGCTTATTAGTTATTTAGGTTAAATAATCGATTGGCATCTTTTTCCAATCGATTAGGAAATTAAAAATGCACGTGGATCATTTTTTTTTTTAGTTTTTCCTTCTTCTATATAAAGGAGTAAAGGAGGGTCGCCCCCTCTTTATTTCACACCAATTCCAGAATGTTTACATTTTTTCCGGAATTTATATCTCTATTTTTATCCCCTATCATTAGAAATATTTTCTTCACATAAAGTTTTCTTGGTGGTTTTGAGTGAACACTACTTGTGTGGAACAAATTGTTTGAGTGAAATGCCCTTGTTATTACTTTCAAGAGTGTGATACTCTTGAAGAATAAAGATTGGTTCTTGAGATTAACCAGTCTTAAAATATATGCTTAGTTCTTGATATTAGTTTGGAAAATCTCTATTTTGATTGTTATTTTAGCTTGGGTAAAAGCTTATTGTTTGATTGGGGATAAGCCATTATAAAGACCAGCTTGTATCAAAAGGTTCCTGGGCATATCCTGTAAAAGCTCAAAGTTTTAGTTAAAATCTCAAGAAGATCTCTTGGGGACAAGACTAGGTCAAGGTTCGATCAAACCTGGATAACTCTCTGGTACAATCTCTCTAACATTTACTCTCTTTATTTTATTTTGTTTATCATTAGTTTTTTTTTATGTTGCCATTTACTCTTAAAGAAACTATTAACACGATCTAAATCGAGAAAAGCATAAAAGTAACCACGAATTTTAAATACCACAATTCACCCTTCCCCTTTTTATGCTTGAAGTCACTTGTCCAACAGGTTGGTAAAGAAAAATGTGTATTTAAGAAATAGTGTTTGTGTGGAGTAAGTGACAAATTTAGGTAGGTTGATGGTGTTGGATAGCATTTTGGGTCACCTGTAACAGTGATGTCTTTATTATTATAGGTGAATGGGATTTTAGGTATTGAAAAGTCAGCCATAAGAGAACCAAGTGTTCTCAACCATTGCCTGCCTAAGACCACGTCATCTCCATCAATTGGAAGTAAATAAAATGGAATGAAAAATATATGGTTTCACAATATGATGAGAAGTTGAGGGCATAGTCCAGAACATAGTAATTAAGACTCATTGCCAACCATAACAGAGAAATTAGGTATGGTTTTTGTTGGAATTTTGAGATGTTGGGTTATACGAGGTTGAAAGATATTGTGGGTGCTACCTCTATTGATGAGAACTTTTACTGAGAGCCCATCAGACAATTCTTTAAACATTAAAGTTTTGATGTTGTCTATTAACAGCTTGTGGTGAAAGTTGAAATATGTTTCTTCAGATTTAAACCTAACTTTTACAACCTCAGAAATTTCATTAGTCTCTTGAGTTTGATTAGGATTATCATCATTTACCATGAGTGAGAGAAATTTTTCTTCTACACATTTATGGTCTAGATAAACTTTTCATCACAATTAAAGCATAAGCCTTGAGCTATACGTTATTCTTTTTGTGTTGCCATAATGCAGCATATAGGTAAACAGTTTGGGTTGTGTATGAGTTAGGTGTGGCTAGTGGTTTAGATAGTGTTCTAGTGTTTGTGCTAGTGTATAGTGGCTTTGGGTAATGATGTTGGGCATTTTGAGGGGTTATGGTTTTGATTTGAGGTTCTAGTAAATTTAGGTATTGAATCCTTAATTTTGGCCAATCCCACAACTTGTGAAATAGAGTATGGGCATTTATAGCTAATTCAATTCGAATTTTTGGGATTAATCTTGAAATGAAACAATTAAGTAGTGCATATGGTGGTAACCTTATTACTCTATTTCTCAATTTTTCAAAATTGACTTGGTATTCGGAAACCGAGCCATGTTGTTTTAGTTTAAAGAAGGCCTGGTGGTTTTCATAGGTTGAGGGGCCAAATCGTAGTTCAAGGGCTCTAGAAAACATTTTCCAATCGGCTAATTCATGGTTTTAAAACATTCATTTATACAATCCTGAAGCATCCCCTTTCATATAGAAAACAACCACAGGAAACCGATTTTCATAAGGAATGTTATAAAAAGCAAAAAGTTGTTCTACTTGAAATAGCCATTCTAAAACATCATTCTATTAAAAACTCCCTAGTTCAATTATAGGGGTTCTAAAATATGGTTGAGGGAAATTGTTATTACGTGGAAAAAAAAGGAAATAGGCAACGTTATTGAGTGTAGTGTGGTGGAAATTGAAGGTAGGGATAGCTAAAAAAGGCGAGTGACCAGAGTGTAAAGTGGGTTATGAATGGGGGAAAAGAGAGTCGTGGTGGTGGAGTGGGTATTTTAAAATTGATTATGGTATTTTTGGATCGAAACCTGATGTTGACAAAGGTAGCTTCTTGGTTCGACAAAAGTCATGCATGCTGTAGTCGAAATTTGTTCACATGCTTGCTGTAGTCGAAGACGAAATATGTTTCCTTTAAAGCATGTCAAATTAGGCCTTTCTTGTAAGCCCAATTGTTAAGTTAGCTTGTAGACTAAGTCATCTTAGTAGTTTATAAATACACTAGTTCTCTTAGGTTGTTGAAAAAAAGGTTAATTGTTGTTATTCACTTGTAATATTTGAACCCTTATTGAGAAGTGAATAGTAAAGTAGTTTTAACCAATTATGTTTATTCTTCCTTCTTATATCTTTCTTTCATAAAACCTAATAGGGTTTCTCGTGTTTGTTAAAGAAACTCAATCTTTTTCATAGTTTGATTTGTTCTTGATGACATCGATTCACAACAAACTGGTGCGGTGAGCATGGAAAAAAAGATGTCATCAACAAAGTATGAGATTGAGAAATTCATCGTTGTGAATGATTTCGGTTTGTGGCGCTTGAAGATGCAAGTCCTACTGGTTCAACAAGGTTTGTTAGAAGCATTAAAAGGACCGGAGAAGATGGATGCTTCCCTAATAGAAAAGAGATGATGATGATCGAGAAAGCCCACAGTGCCATCATATTAAGCCTTGGTGATAAGGTTCTCTGGCAGGTCTCAAAGGGGAAGATGGAAACGGGTGTGGACAAAACTAGAAGGTTTGTACATGACCAAATCATTGGCTAATTGTCTCTATGTAAATCAAGATTTATATTCGTTCAAGATGAGTGAAGACAAAGTCTTGGTTGAGTAGTTGGATATGTTTAACAAGTTGGTTATGGATCTTGTGAATATTGAGGTCAAGATTGACGATGAAGATCAAGCATTTTTGTTGTTGTGTGATTTACCTAAGTCTCATGATCACTTCAAATAAACTCTTTTGCATGGAAGTGATTCATTAACCTTTGAAGAAGTTCAATCAGTCTTGTATTCTAAGGACCTGAATGAAAGAAAGAAGCATAAACCATCTTCTGTTATGTGGTGAATTTTCGAAACAAAATATGCTATATGATAACAAGGTCAAAAAACTAGAGTTTTGTAAACCTTGTCTA